CTTCCAAGAGAGCCTGCATGACCCGAGCACCTGGCATGGGTCAGCTCGGGTCAGCTCGGGTCAGCTTTGCGTCCGTATGCGCACTCTTTCTGGCATGCACTGTACATGTTCTTTGGTAAACCGGTGTCAAGTCCGAGTCACTGCCACACGCTTACATTGACAGCCCTCCGACGGACCCCGGCTGTCAACACGCCCGTGTCTCAGGGTGGGGGGACGTCTCCAAATGCTTGGTCGTTCTCTAAAATTTTAAAACCACCCCCAAAAACCAAAAACAAAACCCACAAGGGGGGGGGGTTCTCAACATGAGGAACCCTCTTGTTGTATGGCTTGCAAAGCAAACCAAGCAAAAACCAGCCTGGGTGCGGTCCCTCGCATTAGGGAACATGCCAGAAGCTGGTTTCACTGGTTGCCTTCGTGTTGCCCTGTGAGGGCAAAGCAAACTAGCCTTCGGCATGAGCATTCTCGGCTGCCACGAAGAGAGGCGACGCATGGTCAGACTGCGTTCGATTCACGTCTGCCTGGCAATCCCGAAATACCAAAGCACACTCAGGAACCAGCCTATGCGGCATTCTGGGCGATGGCTGGCTTACATTGGCTGTGGGTCAAAAATGGCTATCCATTTTGGAACGGTCGCCTGGTGCTTTAGTTTTGACCCAGGCCCATACCCATAGTGGCTTATCACATCCCAGCTTCATCCTAGCCATGCCATGGCTTCCGTGGCTCTAAGCCAACCGTTGCATCGCTGCCTTCATGCGACAAAGCAGCTCGATGACTGCCACGTCCCCCTGGCTTTCCGCGTGCTCGCATGGCACAGAGAAGGACACATGGTGCACTTTTGGGTGCACCTTCCAAGCTGGGGGTCGTGCTTGGCAGGCCGTTTGGCTTTCTCGCTGCCCCGTGTTTCCGGCCTTGTACGCAGCAACTATTAGAGGCGTGGCGTTCCCATCGATGGCCTGCTCCGTGTCTGCGCCCGCCTGCCAAGCTGGTGGGTGGGTCAAACGCACATGTGAACTGCTACCCTGCAAAATTATTGTTGTGCCGCACGATTCTGCCGACCCACTGCCCAGCGTGACCGCGCGCGGTCAGGCCGCCTTGCACAAAAAGGTGAGGACCTGGCAATTGCTTCACGCGCCATGAAGCAAAAGCAAACCTTTCTGTGGATCAGCTGAACGTGCTACTGGGCAAAGCAAATATTTGAGTCGGCCGAATGCAAATGCCTTCGCTTTTTGTCAACGCCCCCTTGTCTTCGTGTCAAAGAATTAGTGTGGGAGCGCCACTCCGAAGCAGCATTCGACCAGCATTCTGGATTCACCAGGAAAATGCGTTTGCATCCAGACTCTTGACTGCAAGCAACGCACATGCGCATGCCGGCTGGACTTTCTTCTCGGCTATTTTGACCGAATGGAAACGCACACCTTTTTTTAGGTACCTCTTTGATTTGGGGAGTTGAACCCAGCTCCTGTTGAAACTGACTGGGGAAGGTGCCCATATCGTGCCTAAACCATACCAATCAAACCACAAGTTGGGTGCTTTGGTGATGTTTAGTGAGTTCTGTCCAGCACACGCCCTATTCAGAATCATTTCGCAGAGACCGGCTTTGCCGAGCACCTGCCAAAGAGATGGACGTTTCTCAGGTCGCGTGGTTTGCCGGACTTGTGACGCACAGTGTCCCGCCGCGCCAGCCCGGGTCCCGGCGGAGATGTTTCTCCGCAACCAGCTTGGGAGCGCAACAAGAAGCAGCTTCCCAGCGGAAAATTCCGTGGGCACTTGAAAATGCCTTTGGAGGAATAAAATTCCGTAAGCCCAAAGTGCTCTCTGAGCAGTGCGCAAGCCCAACTTGTGTTCGGCCAAACAAAATGTACCAAGGTAGGTAATTTTGGACGTAATTAGAGGTCATCATTGTGGCCCTACTAAGCCAACCAAGGTAGATCTCGAAAAATGCTTTGAGTTCTTGGCACTGTTGACTTGGCTGGAGGCGCTGGAATGCATCCTTGCGCGCCCGAGGTGCAGCTCTTGATGCTCAAATTGCATAGTTGTGGGGTTGCCCCGGGGTCGGCCCAAGGCATGAAAACCCGGCTCACAATCCAAATCGCAAAGACTGCGTGCAGTCTGCATGACACTTTGCCACGATTGCCAAACAAGCCGAAAACGAAGGCGTGGTTCAGTCGCGGAGCCTTCGCTGAATCAGCAAAGGCCCAGACTTTTGCATAATGCTGGCATGTCTGATTGTATAACAAGGTATAAGAATAAGAATACATGGTTCCAACAAAGCGAGCGCTTGCCACACGCCACTCGCTCCCACGAAGCCCTTGACCCATGCACTTTAAGCGAGGCAAGGTGCTTGAACTGGAAGACCCAGAACTCAAAGCCTAGGAGTTTCCTGTGAAACAGTGGCAAGGCCCAAAGCCCTTGCGCCGGCATATAATTGCACCGGCGTTCAATGACAACTGCGCGGGTGTTTTTTCAATACAACTGCGCAGTTGCTTTTCTTGAAATCTGTTCCTTGTTTTGACATCTGTTCCTGGCATCTCAAGTCCCAGCGAAGGCCACTCTCCCGAGATAAATCGCCGAGACAGATTGCCTGTCCGATTGGACGCAAGGAATCATTGCTCAGCTGAACCTTCCACAACTTGGGCACTTTTCACATCTTTTCACCGCCCGCCTTGCTGCCCAATGGTCCCTGTCATTCCCTTTCCTTCCGTTTTGCTGTCCTTCCTTCCCTCCTTTCTTTCCTTCTGTTCCACTTTCTTCCCCTCCCTCTCTCTGTCTCTCTGACCGTCCGGCCTGGCTTCGAATTTCACTCCCTTAGCGCGGCGATCGCTTGCCGCGAAGATCTGTGCGATCCGCCGCTCTCTATGCCGAGAGGAAAGCTCCAATCACAGGAGCTACACCGAGCAGTGAACCACCACCCGGGAGAGCAAGCAGGTGGGACATTCAAATAAAGCCCGAGACTGGGTGGCTTCGTCAATGTGTGAGTTTGAGCTTTGAAGCGGTCTTGCGTGCTGATTGAATGGTTGCACTGTCTCTGGTTCCGAAGAAATGGATGTCGAGGCCCCAAAGTCGTCGCTAAAAAACGATGAGACGTGCTATTGCTTGCCGTACGCTAGGCGATCCTTTTGTGTACGTCAGTGAGGTAGGCTTCTGGTGGGTAGGTTGCTGATACTGGCTGGTCAGGTTGGGTCAGTCGGATCTGGCCCTCAGAGTGCCTCGCTCGTTGCATGAATCAAGTGCTGTGAAAACCGGCTCAGTCGAATAATTTTCTGCACAACTCTGCCAACGAGACGCGCACTAGAATGTTGCGCCAAGCAACTCAGCAGCACTCAATAGCTTCCGGAAAATGGCCTGTCAGCACGGCCCAGTGAAACATTCGCCTGGCTCTTTGGGTACCCCTTTGCTTTGTGTAGAACTGGGTGGTGTGCTTCAAAATGTGTCGCTCATCCGGAGTTGTGACCTCCGGAAAAATGCTTCTTGGACGCACTCTACAAAAACTAAACCTGGAAAGCAGGAGGAGATGACTCGCAACTCTCTGGTGCAAAGTAACACGTGGATTGTTGGCTTGGCCCAGGCGTACCTCCAACACACCTGACTAAGCTGAGTGCACCGTTCTTGTCAGGAGTCCTGTTTTGACATGAGTTTTTTTCACCTCCAATGCCGTCCCGTGTGCTGAGTCCGTTACACGGGAAATGAGCAAAGCAAACTGATTAGGGACATTCTGTAATTCACTTCCTGAGTGGGCTAGCCAAACAAAGTCTGAACTTTTTACTTGCCACCAGAATGATCTTCCCAAAACGGGCGCCATCAAAAATTCACAGCGCGGTTTGCCGTCCAAGCGGCCAAACCACGCTGGCGGTGCTTGGGCACCGGTGCCTCCCTGACCCCAGCAGGGGGTGTTGGCATCATGGGGGGCGCCGAGCCTTGGCTTCAGCTGGAGGCTTAGGGTCTGCAACCTCCATGTTTTTGAGGCAAATGTGTTTTTTGCGTTTCCCAGCTGGCCCGGCAGCCCGTCAGCTTGTGTGCTGCGCTGAACGGGTGCACTTGAGCGGGCGTTGGACTAGCCCCAGCCCAGCCATCTAAACCTTGTGCGCATACGGCGCCATAGCCCCAGCCTTCGAACCTGGCCTCAATTCGTGCAGGATGGCTTGATGGATTGTTGCTCCGCTGCATGGTGAAATTGTTGCGGCTCGCCTGCGCTGGGCCTATCGCCGAGCGACGGGAGCCCTCGCGCCGCGAAACGGTGCAAAGTGGTTCCTTCGCATGGTGCGCAAATCTAAAAACAACTGCTCGCTCATTGTGCAAAGCATCGTTTGGAAAGATGCAACTTTCCAGTAGAAGTGCACTAGTTTCCGCGCCATCACAAAGCGCAACCTGTCTTTACAATGGTACGCTAAGTGCCTTTTCGTAATCGGTACCTAGCTGCTCCCCAAACTGCAACTTGTCGGTACAAGCGTGCTACGCAAAGTATCCTTTGGCGACTCCAGCTCGCCAATTGCAACCTTTCAGTACAAATAGTAAGCGACGTACGGGAGGTGCGCCCAAAGTGCTGCAATGTTCCCGCCATCGCGGTGGGAAGCCAAAGTGTCCGCCCGGCTTCCCGCGGAGCTTACGCCGAACTTCCGTGGATGTTCTGCTCAACTCTTGAGCTAAAATGGTCTGCACCGTGAATCATTCGAATGCGCTGACCTGTGTTGACCACACATTGGACAAAAAGATACTCCAACCCAGAACTTCACCAATCCACCAAGCTAGAGCTTCCGCGAAGCTTGCGCAGCGCTAGTTTAACAACGAACCTTGCGCGAGCCTACATTGCCCGCATGTGTCTCATGTCAATGCGGAAGCTTGCTACAAGAGACCGGTCTAAACGACTCACTTGACGGTTTGTTGGGCGCTGGCACATCCAATGCAGTCCCAAAAGGGGAATTCATTATGTGTAGGCTGGGCAGCTTGGTCCCCGTGCCTGTGCTGCCAAGCAACTGGGGGGCGCAGCCACAACCATGAGCCGTGGAATAATCTCTGCCTCGGCTCAAGATTCTATCAAATTGGATCCACCTTTCCAGGAAATCACAATGGCCGACACAGATGCCGAGGGCAAAATATTCAAAGCGATGCTGATGCGCTGGGAAAAGGGGAAACACACAGGCCACGCAAACCCAGCGAGCCTCTCTGTCCGGACTTGCGTTACGTTCAGCCGGCACCTTCGTGATATGCGAGACCAGTCTGCAAACTCGGCTTCACTGCAGCGCGGCACGCGCCTCGTCATGGGACTTCAGGTTCTCCTGGCGACCAACTTGGCGTACAGTTGAAGCACCCGCCTGGCCCATGCCTTCCCGTCCAAAGACCGGATGTCGAACTCATCCCCCAGCCCGCCGAACACCTCACGGTCCTTGGGCACATGGGAAGTGGCCACAGGCAGAACACCCCAGCACACCTCCCCCAAGCTGCCATCGATGCCAGGGCACGCCGCATTCTTCCAGCATGACCAAGTCTGGCCCAGCCTTTGCGCAGTCTGTGCTGGTAAGCATACACATGTTATCGTGTTGGCTCTTGCCGGCACTTGCCCTTGTGCGCGCCTGTTGCAGCTCTGCGGGCTTGTGCGCGCCCGTGTGCTTGTGTGTGCTTGTGTGTGTGTGTGCTTGTGTGTGTGTGTGTGCTTGTGTGTGTGTGCTTGTTTGTGTGCTTGTGTGTGTGCTTGTGTGTGTGTGCTTGTGTGTGTCCTTGTGCGTGTGCTTGTGTGTGTGTGCTTGTGTGTGTGTGCTTGTGTGTGTGTGCTTGTGTGTGTGTGTGCTTGTGTGTGCTTGTTTGTGTGTGTGCTTGTGTGTGTGCTTGTGTGTGTGCTTGTGTGTGTGCTTGTGTGTGTGTGTGCTTGTGTGTGCTTGTGTGTGTGTGCTTGTGTGTGTGCTTGTGTGTGTCCTTGTGCGTGTGCTTGTGTGTGTGTGTGTGCTTGTTTCTATGCTTGTGTGCGTGCTTGTGTGTGTCCTTGTGCGTGTGCTTGTTTGTGTGCTTGTGTGTGTGCTTGTTTGTGTGCTTGCGTGTGTGCTTCTGTGTGTGTGCTTGTGTGTGTGCGCTTGTGTGTGTGCTTGTGTGTGTGCTTGTGTGTGTGTGCTTGTGTGTGTGCTTGTGTGTGTGTGGGTTGTGTGTGTGTGTGCTTGTGCGTGTGCTTGTGTGTGTGTGTGTGCTTGTGTGTGTGCTTGCTTGTGTGTGTGCTTGTGTGTGTGTGCTTGTGTGTGTGCTTGTGTGTGTGCTTGTGTGTGTGCTTGTGTGTGTGCTTGTGTGTGTGTGTGTGCTTGTTTGTGTGCTTGTGTGTGTGTGTGCTTGTGTGTGTGTGCTTGTGTGTGTGCTTGTGTGTGCTTGTGCTTGTGTGTGTGCTTGTTTGTGTGCTTGTGTGTGTGCTTGTGTGTGCGCTTGTGTGTGTGCTTGTGTGTGTGTGCTTGTGTGTGTGCTTGTGTGTGTGCTTGTGTGTGTGCTTGTGTGTGCTTGTGTGTGCTTGTGTGTGTGTGGGCTTGTGTGTGTGTGTGTGTGCTTGTGCGTGTGTGTGTGCTTGTTTGTGTGCTTGTGTGTGTGCTTGTGTGTGTGCTTGTGTGTGTCCTTGTGCGTGTGCTTGTGTGTGTGTGCTTGTGTGTGTGCTTGTGTGTGTGCTTGTGTGTGTGTGTGTGCTTGTGTGTGTGTGTGCTTGTGTGTGCTTGTTTGTGTGTGTGCTTGTGTGTGTGCTTGTGTGTGTGCTTGTGTGTGTGTGCTTGTGTGTGCTTGTGTGTGTCCTTGTGCGTGTGCTTGTGTGTGTGCTTGCGTGTGTGTGCTTGTGTGTGTGCTTGTGTGTGTGCTTGTGTGTGTCCTTGTGCCTGTGCTTGTGTGTGTGTGCTTGTGTGTGTGCTTGTTTGTGTGTGTGCTTATGTGTGTGCTTGTGTGTCCTTGTGCGTGTGCTTGTGTGTGTGTGTGTGCTTGTTTGTGTGCTTGTGTGTGTGCTTGTGTGTGCTTGTGCTTGTGTGTGTGCTTGTGCGTGTGCTTGTGTGTGTGCTTGTGTGTGTGCTTGTGTGTGTGCTTGTGTGTGTGCTTGTGTGTGTGTGCTTGTGTGTGCTTGTGCTTGTGTGTGTGTGTCCTTGTGCGTGTGCTTGTGTGTGCTTGTGCTTGTGTGTGTGCTTGTTTGTGTGCTTGTGTGTGTGCTTGTGTGTGCTTGTGCTTGTGTGTGTGCCTGTGTGTGCTTGTGCTTGTGTGTGTGTGCTTGTGCGTGTGCTTGTGTGTGTGCTTGTGTGTGTGCTTGTGTGTGCGCTTGTGTGTGTGCTTGTGTGTGTGCTTGTGCTTGTGTGTGTGTGCTTGTGCGTGTGCTTGTGTGTGTGCTTGTGTGTGTGTGCTTGTGTGTGTGCTTGTGTGTGCTTGTGTGTGTGCTTGTGTGTGTGCTTGTGTGTGTGTGTGCTTGTGTGTGTGTGCTTGTGCGTGTGTGCTTGTGTGTGTGCTTGTGTGTGTGCGTGTGTGTGTGTGTGTGTGCTTGTGTGTGTGCTTGTGTGTGCT